GAACAGAGGGCCTCTCAAAGGGGGAGGATTGTAGGGTTTAGGGTTGAGGGTTTGAGGATTTAGGACAGGGTTGAGGGCTTAGGGTTGAGGGGTTTAGGGTGCAGGGTTGAGGGTTTGAGTTTCGGAAGGATTCTATAGGTTGTTTTTGGCAATCGGTTTCATGCCTTCGACCAGGGCTCTCCTTGGGGAGAACCCAGGGCTCTTCTTCCGGCATCGGGTGTTGGCTTTGGGATGAAGTCGTAGGGGCCTTTTTGAAACTGGTGAGGTCTCTTTGTCCGTTGGGAGCAAACACAGAGGCACCAACGCATTCCCGAAACCCCTAAACCCTAAACCCTAAACCCTAAACCCTAAACCCTAAACCCTAAACCCTAAACCCTAAACCCTAAACCCTAAACCCTAAACCCTAAACCCTAAACCCTAAACCCTAAACCCTAAACCCTAAAGCCTAAAGCCTAAAGCCTAAAGCCTAAAGCCTAAAGCCTAAAGCCTAAAGCCTAAACCCTAAACCCTAAACCCTAAACCCTAAAGCCTAAAGCCTAAAGCCTAAAGCCTAAAGCCTAAAGCCTAAAGCCTAAAGCCTAAAGCCTAAAGCCTAAAGCCTAAAGCCTAAAGCCTAAACCCTAAAGCCTAAACCCTAAAGCCTAAAGCCTAAAGCCTAAAGCCTAAAGCCTAAAGCCTAAAGCCTAAAGCCTAAAGCCTAAAGCCTAAAGCCTAAAGCCTAAAGCCTAAAGCCTAAAGCCTAAAGCCTAAAGCCTAAAGCCTAAAGCCTAAAGCCTAAAGCCTAAAGCCTCAAGCCTAAAGCCTAAAGCCTCAAGCCTAAAGCCTAAAGCCTAAAGCCTAAAGCCTAAAGCCTAAAGCCTAAAGCCTAAAGCCTAAAGCCTAAAGCCTAAAGCCTAAACCCTAAACCCTAAAGCCTAAAGCCTAAAGCCTAAAGCCTAAAGCCTAAAGCCTAAAGCCTAAAGCCTAAAGCCTAAAGCCTAAAGCCTAAAGCCTAAAGCCTAAACCCTAAAGCCTAAACCCTAAAGCCTAAAGCCTAAAGCCTAAAGCCTAAAGCCTAAAGCCTAAAGCCTAAAGCCTAAAGCCTAAAGCCTAAAGCCTAAAGCCTAAAGCCTAAAGCCTCAAGCCTCAAGCCTAAAGCCTAAAGCCTCAAGCCTAAAGCCTAAAGCCTAAAGCCTAAAGCCTAAAGCCTAAAGCCTAAAGCCTAAAGCCTAAAGCCTAAAGCCTAAAGCCTAAAGCCTAAAGCCTAAAGCCTAAAGCCTAAAGCCTAAAGCCTAAAGCCTAAAGCCTAAAGCCTAAAGCCTAAACCCTAAAGCCTAAACCCTAAAGCCTAAAGCCTAAAGCCTAAAGCCTAAAGCCTAAAGCCTAAAGCCTAAAGCCTAAAGCCTAAAGCCTAAAGCCTAAAGCCTAAAGCCTAAAGCCTAAAGCCTAAAGCCTAAAGCCTAAAGCCTAAAGCCTAAAGCCTCAAGCCTAAAGCCTAAAGCCTCAAGCCTAAAGCCTAAAGCCTAAAGCCTAAAGCCTAAAGCCTAAAGCCTAAAGCCTAAAGCCTAAAGCCTAAAGCCTCAAGCCTAAAGCCTAAAGCCTAAAGCCTAAAGCCTAAAGCCTAAAGCCTAAAGCCTAAAGCCTAAAGCCTAAAGCCTAAAGCCTAAAGCCTAAAGCCTAAAGCCTAAAGCCTAAAGCCTAAAGCCTAAAGCCTAAAGCCTAAAGCCTAAAGCCTAAAGCCTCAAGCCTAAAGCCTAAAGCCTCAAGCCTCAAGCCTAAAGCCTAAAGCCTAAAGCCTAAAGCCTAAAGCCTAAAGCCTCAAGCCTAAAGCCTAAAGCCTCAAGCCTAAAGCCTAAAGCCTAAAGCCTAAACCCTAAAGCCTAAAGCCTAAAGCCTAAAGCCTAAAGCCTAAAGCCTAAAGCCTAAAGCCTAAAGCCTAAAGCCTAAAGCCTAAAGCCTAAAGCCTAAAGCCTAAAGCCTAAACCCTAAAGCCTAAAGCCTAAAGCCTAAAGCCTAAAGCCTAAAGCCTAAAGCCTAAAGCCTAAAGCCTAAAGCCTAAAGCCTAAAGCCTAAAGCCTAAAGCCTAAAGCCTAAAGCCTAAAGCCTAAAGCCTAAAGCCTAAAGCCTAAAGCCTAAAGCCTAAAGCCTAAAGCCTAAAGCCTAAAGCCTAAAGCCTAAAGCCTAAAGCCTAAAGCCTAAAGCCTAAAGCCTAAAGCCTAAAGCCTAAAGCCTAAAGCCTAAAGCCTAAAGCCTAAAGCCTAAAGCCTAAAGCCTAAAGCCTAAAGCCTAAAGCCTAAAGCCTAAAGCCTAAAGCCCAAAGCCTTGATTTTATAGGACTTCGGCCATGCGAAGGTTCCTGACAAACGCTGGCCTCCTTCAGCTCTGCTCAGGGCAGCACCTTGAGTTTTAACGGAATTCCTCAAGGAAGCTGACTACGCGGCTCTTCGGGTTATTGTTTTGGCGTTTTTGCTTTTCGGGTTCGGGTTGCTTTGTTTGGGAACCTCCTAAGTTGAGTAGAGCTGGCGACTCTAGAATTTCGCTGATAATGATCTGCCCCCACAGGCCAGCCAGCTCAAGAAGGAGCTCATGGTGTGTGTGTGTGTGTGTGTGGGTGTGTGGGTGTGTGCGTGTGTGTATGTGTGTGTGTGTGTGTTTGTGTGTGTTTGTGTGTGTGTGTGTGTGTGTTCGGGTTTCGGTTACAGGGTTAAGGTTTCAGGGTGCAGGGTTTGTCTGTTTAGAGTTTAGGGGTGTGATCATGTAGTATCAACGTCTGAGGTATCAGAAGTTGCATCCGTTGAAGTGCCTATGTGGTCAAACTATGATATTTCCAACCCAAAGTCCTATCACGAGCATTTAGACCCATGTGTTTCCAGAGAGCCCAACCCCCCTTAATTAAGGGATGTAGCTTAAATCATAATATGAGGCCCTTTCTAATTTGAGCCATCTTCCGTAATTTTGGGGTATCGGGCTCTCTGGGTTAGTGTTCAGGGTGTCGGGGAGGTCGGTGTCAAAGCCACGATGTTGCAAAGGGAGCATATGCGTGTGGAATTAGGGGTATCTTATTTTGTATTTTGGGTCCTTACAATAGGGGGTCCTACTATTTAGGGCACTATATTAGGGTCCCCTATTTTCGGAAACTCCCATATGGGTTTGGAATTACGTAGGTTGATTTGTGTTTTTCAATTTTATGTCCTAGGGCTTAAGGGCTGAAGGCCTGGCGCTCGGGACTGTAGGGATTCATGTTGTAGGGCTGGGGGTGCAGGCACGTTGCGAATCTTTTCAGCAGACTGCATAGCTCTATTCATTGTATCTATTCATGGACATTTTCGGGTCCGTAACATTGCAACCCAGTTTAGAATCTTAAAGTCCTCTCACAGGCTGCTAAAAACATGTAACATTGTCGAGGATGGACTTTGGGGTTGTGGGCAAGGGATCTGTGGTGCGTTGCCTGCAAGTTGAAGATTTGTGCTCAATTTTGACAATTCGTTTACGCCGTCCTTCCTTTCTTGTTGATCAGCCCTTTCATAACTTAAAACTAACGCATGTAACGTAGCTGCTCCCTGACTCCTACTTGGAGGATCAAGGGACTTAGTAAGTACAGTAGTGTTAGTATCAATAAGGCAACTATAGTTAAGCCTACTTATAACCGTATACTATAATTATGGTACGTATGACCCTACTTACTAAGTCCCATCATCCTCTAATCTAACTAACCTCAACTGTAGACATGAACACCTACGGTTTCTCGCAACACTGCATGAATCCTTGAGCTCCCAGAACTAGTCAAAAGTTCCACAATCTACACTCTCTAAAGTTTCCTTACGAAATAGTTTTCTTTTCAGAAAATAACACATTACGGCCCCCACATTGTCGACACTCTTATGTTGTATCGAAAATGCACTTTTTTTTCAAATTCATTCGGTGGAAGCAAGCTTTGTGGTCAACAGTAGTATTTACTAATGGCTCATAGGTTCTAAGACATGCGAATTGGATAAGTGCTGTATGTGATATGTCATTTAGTTTTGTTATGTTGTTTGCACGAAGAAAATCGATAAATACGCACATGGAGCTGGTCCGCATATTCTATAGTGGCAGACCGTCCTTTGAAACTCCTTGGATTCTGAAACTCGCTGACGAGGTGTCTTGCCGACATGGCCGCCAACATCGGCTGTGTTTGCCTGGCAGACTCCACCGGCTTTGGCCTTTTGCCGCCCGGTTCACGCAGTGGTATCGTCGAAACCGAAACCACGTTGGGCTGGAACTTCACGGCCGCCGTCAGCTACGGCGCCTGCTTGACGGCACCCTCGGGCGATGGCGCACCCTCGCTGATGCAACTGTTGCTGCAAGTGCAGCAAGAGGCCAAGGTGCTTCTGTCGGGCGCTAGTCTTCTGCGGTTGCACCCCTGCAAAGGACTCAGTGCCAGCCTGGCGATTCCAAGGAGGAGAGCTTCAAGGGACTTGTGGAGGGCCGGGCCCAATACCACATCAAAGAAACCACAGTCCATCATGGATTTGGTTCATTGGGCGTGCAGTGGGGGCACGAAAAACTTCCGCTTTATGAAGGAGCAGGCAACGCCTGCCATGGTTCTGTGGAAACTGCTGCGCAAGAGATCTGCCAGGGCACGGAACATCTGACTCGCGCAGCACGACTGGCCATTAAGGAAATCGTTCTTGACGGTCGTGAGAAACTTGCGACCAAAAGTGCTCCAGTGCGCCGCCAGCACAAGTGGGCAGACCACGCCCAGATGGCACAAACAAACTCCGCAACAACGGCTGGCTCATGGCAATAGACCCTCGCACCGGGCTTATTGCCGCAGGGCAGGAGATGCATCAATCAGAGAACAATCAGGTGGCCCTGGATGTACTCCATCTTGCTGCGGCGAGACCGTCTCGGTTGAATTGCGCTGTGTATGACAGAGCCTGCAGATGCTTGCAGCAAGGCAGGAAAGACACATGCACAAAACAGATCAAGTACTGCTGTGTCGATCGCTTCCATGCCAAGGGACATGCTGTCGCTTGCCCATGCTCCCCGCTCCAGCATCGGTCTTGAACAACCGCGTGGAGGGCATCAACATCTCCATTGCCGAGCAAACGTGTATTTTGTTTCGTGGCTATGCCTCCCAGTTCAACACGAAGTCCCGCGCTCCCACGCCTCTTGCATCTTGTTATGCAGGCAGAGGCACAATGACGTGACTCGCAAGGGATGTCAGAGCCATTTGAGTCCCTTTTCCGCGAGAAAGCCAGCTGCTGTGGCTAGTGGATTGCTCAAGCGACCGGCCTCCCATAAGTCTACATGTCGACGCCCGGCATCATCTTGGGGAACTTCCTCTACGTCTTCCACAAGGGCTTTCGCGATCAAGAAAACCCTTGCCGCGAAAGTGATCAAGCGCATCTGGAAGAAGTGATGGAACAACATTAGAGATTGGCCAACCTATCCGACCGGGCTTGGATGTCGTGCATTTTCCTGAGCACAATCTGTTTCGTTTGCCATACGGTCGGAACCAGGGTTGTTTAGGGTTTCGGGTTCAGGGGTTGGGGAAACGTAGTTTTGTCAATGCTTTGCGAGCCGAAGCATCCTAGTTCTGTCATGTCAATATTAGCTTGACACGCCTCACATACAACTTGAGAAGTCAAGTTATATTCGGACAACCACAATACCATCAATCTAACATAACTCTGATGTCGAACTAACTAATCTCCGACTCCCTCGTCAGAGCTGAGGCTGTGACCTCAGTATGTAGCGGATAGCAGCAAATTACTCTCGTAACTCCTAACATGTCTTCCGCGCAAGCGGAGCTACAAGCACGCACATGTTTTCTGTAAGAGGACGGGTGCTGTGAATACACCAGAACATTCGACAATATGACGTAAGGAATTGAAGTGCGTTTACAAGTCGATGGTAAAGACTATCTCGGTCGCACTTTTCTTCCTTCGAGAAGATGTCAACCAGACGATCAGATAATGCATGTAGCAGTGCAATGCAAAAGCTAGCACACAGTAGACATGACATACCGATGTGTGCTTGCGTAGGTGTGACGCATGGACTCGGTGGTGTGTGTGTGTGTGTGCGTGCTAGGAAAAGCTAGGCGACTGGCACCATGCATGCCGGCCCCTCGGGCAACTCCCACGGAGTGGCAACAGTAAGAACCTTAAACCCGATTTTTTGCCAGCGGATCCTTGTGACGAGGGGTTGCACCCCCAAGCCTTCACGACTTGGAGCAGCTCCTTTTCGCTAAGATGGGACCCCCCTGACCCTTCACGATTTGGAGTGGCCCCCCAAAAGAATCAAGGTGGGACCCCCTAACTCTTCACGACTTGGGGCGCTGCTCCCCAAAAAGACAAGGCTGGGACCCCTCAACCCTCAACCCTTCACGATTTGGTGGCTGTTGCGGTCCAGGAGGCTGACAGCTGATTTTCTGTTACCAAATTTTCTGACGCTACCAAATTTTTCTTATAGAATGTGCCTGCCTTTTCGACGAGTGCCGCCAGCACAGCCTCACAGAAAACCCATCCGGAAATAGGGACAGACTCACAGAAACCCCACATGCATTGCTCTTTGTTTCGTCACAGCTCGTCAGCAGCTTCAATAAAATACCGGCACCAGCCTTGCAGAAAGCCCACATGAGAACCGGCCAGCACGGCTTCACAGAAAGCCCAAACCCAGAAAGGTACAAAATCGCAGAACAACCACATGCAGAGCTCTTTTCGATCTTGCCTGGGCCCCACTGAAAGTAACGGCCCCCGTCGGTCATGTCGAAGCCCTTGTTGGGATGCCTAGAAGACGTAGAACTAAACCCTAAAATGCTTGAATTCAGGGTGGTCCTGGGGTGGGCTGCCTGCTACGCAGACATGCGAGCGGCTTCGGTGTGCACACACCAGCGAGCACCCATGACGCCACGACATCCTAAACCTTAAACCCTGAACCCATAGAAGCTTTGCAGCGCAGGACTGGGGTTACGCCACGCATTTGCAGAAGGAGGCGCTGCTGCTCCTTGGTTGGAGGGTCATGGGACTTAGCAAGCAGAGTTAGCAGTACCGTAATCAAGGTTATAGGTAGATATAACTATATTGTATTAGGTTCGCTGATCTTTGAAGTGGTATTCCCAGCAGGATCTTCCTTTCAATAGGGGCATTTAAAGGGGCTTTTAACGCAACCCTTCAAAGAGCCCTTAAAGGAGCCCTTGAAAAGGCCGTCAGGGATTTAGATTTTAGGGCGCAGGGTTTCGAGTTTTGGGTTTTAAAGTTTACGGTTTGGGGTTCAGGGCGGGGCTTTCAAGATTGGAATAGCAGTTTGGGTTGTAGCTTAGTGAAACGGAGGTGTTCCGAGGCCCCATGGAATAATGTTGGTAATTACGCAGGCTTCCAAAATTATCCTCAAAGGGTCATGGGTTTGGGGTTCAGGGTTGAAGGTTTAGCATGCTACCGGAGCACGTTGTAAAGCCTTGAATCCGGAAACTCCAGGACAAGCGATAAATAACCCAAGCCGTAAAGTCTAAACTTAAGGCCCCTAGACCCCTCAATTACGCTTTATTGTAGCCCTTAATTGCTTCTTAATCATGAGAAATACGGAGCTCTTTGAGGGGTACTTGGTGGTCTTGGTAACCGCAAAATCCTTAAACCTTAAACGGCAAAAGTCCGACGCCCGCGTCAAACCAAAAAGTTGAAAGGTCCTAGGCCCATAAAGCCCTCGCCGTAGATTCTGTACGCTAAAGCTTAAGCCCTGAGCCCTTACATAGTGAGTAATATGGCTTCCCTGTTAGGGTGATTTAAACTGAGCTCCTCAAGAAGAACCGGGTGAATTCCAAACCCCTAAACTTGCCCTAAGGGGCCCATGTAATCCCATGTACTCATGTAGTATATACTTTGGCGTTAAAGTAGCGCGAATTTAGGTAGTTTCGGGGCCGAGGTATATACTATTTGGGCACATGGACCCTTAGGCATCCCCCCAAACAAGCCCCCAAGCCGAATCCAGGCTAGGATCGTGGAACCTCACCTCCTTGGCGGTCTGTCCACTCGCCGCAGGCGCAAGAGGGTTTAGGGTTTGGGGTCTTAGGTGTAGGGCTTAGGTTTTAGGTTTGAAGTTTTAGGGTTCAGGCTTGACGTTAGGGTTGAGGGTTTGATATTGGCGCTTGAATGCATAGTTTAAGTCCTCTCTGTCGACGAAAGAGGCAGGACTTTCGGCTGTAGTTGAGCGTTTGACTGACGGGAAGTTGGGGTTAGAGGTTTTACATAGAGCTTGCGCGAGACAGAAACATTTATTTAGGTTTGCGGCCCCATCTCCTTCGGTCGCCAGGATTCGAGGCTGATTCCTTTCGGGTAATATCCGCAACGCCCCCCCTCATCCCCAAACCGGAAGTCGTGGACTTGCCCTTCGGGGCTTGCCCGACCAGTGGCAGCGAAAGGAAAAGGCTCGACTAACGAGAAGTAAATCGCGAGACCCCAAAAAGCCCCCAAACTCTGAATCCCAAAAGCCCTAAAACCCAAAACCCTAAAGCCGCGGTGGGAAAAAAAGGAGCGAACAAAAAAGCCCTTCACCTAATCGTGGAACCCCAGAGCCGCCAGAGCCCCACGCCTTCCCTGAGCCTGGAAACCAGAACACGCCTGGAATTCGGGACCCATCTGTAATCGTATGGACCACCCCATGGAACTTATAGTTGAAGGAAGGTTCCTTCGTGCAATGGCATGCTAGAGAGCTCTGTCACAGTGCGAGGTGACCTTTACAAAAGTGGTCATGTGGTTGATGATATACATCCTGCATCATCTTAATGACCCTAGACCGGGAATTCTGGTTATATTCGTTATCATGGGTAATGCAGCGTTTTCTGTCATCAACCGTATAGTCCTGGAAGACTGGGCGCTCCCTTGGACAAACCGGGCCTGGGACCATGATTTCGGGCTCGATTTCTCAAAAAGAGTTTAGGGTCGGGGTTCAAGGTTTATGGTTTAGTCTCTAGGGTTTAAAGTTTAGGGTCTAGGGTTTAAGGTTAGGGTTAAGGGTCTAGGGTTTAAGGTTTAGGGTTGAACCACAATCCCTAATCAAACGGAAGAGCCGCGAGAGCAAAGAAGTCGAAGCTCGATCACCCAAGGGGACGCAGTCTTGCGCGACATGCGGCTCTGGCATGGGGGCACTCCGAACCGCCGCAACTTGCTGGGTTGGGATTTTGAAACATGGGATATTCAGAAGATGGGGGACCATAACATAGACCTCGATAGTAGCATCGTCACTAGAAGGACTCTATCCTCCCACATCTTTCACTTCCATCTTGCCGCGGAAGGTTACGTACGGATTTCGAGCCTATGGGTTTTTATCCTGAAGCTTTACCTGGTGTCCGCATTCGGCCACGGCATAAACACATGAATAGCAATTTCAGAAACACTTTCACTCGCTAAACAGTGTCCCACCAAGAGCCCAGTGCCGATTTGGGTTGTTTAGCTGGCCGGAGATGCCAAGCCTCGAGGAATATCTCTGGGTGCTCACCGAACGGGCATGGGGCTCTCTGGGCAGGGTAGGGTTTGGCGTTCGAGTTCGAGATGTGCGGCTTGGCACTTAGCGGCTTAGGATTTAGAGTGGAGGGCTTGTGGGGGGCCAGAGGGCCGGCAGCCCACACTTGCGACTTTGTAAGTAGGGTTACAAGCAAGGTAACTACAGATATATCTACTTAGAACCTTAATTAAGGTACTTAAAACTTATAACCCTACTTACTAAGTCCCATGACCCTCCAAGCAGCCAAGGTAACCGCAGCCGTTACCTGCCTTCGGCGGAGTTCCTGTCGACTTGGTCCCTTTCAGGATGTGGTGTTTAGCGTTTAGGTTTGAGGGATGAGGGGTGCACGCTGTACGACCCGTGCGGACTTCTTTTGGTTTTGGGTGTTATAGGGATCCACCACTTTGCGAAACAGGGCCCACGAGAATTGGTACCTTAAAGCCCTACTAAACATGAAGGAACTCTAAACCCGGACACCTAAACCCTACACCCTGAACCTGAATCAAGTAAGCCCTAAACATGAAGGCCCCTTTCATTGCTCGGACCCTTGGCGTAGGAGTGGTCAGAATTGGGTCTTTGAGATTGAAGACTCTGAGGTCTAGGGCTGGAGTACCAACCAGAGTTAGGGCTTAGGGTTTAGGGTACAGGGTTTGGGGTTTAATATAGGGCCTATAGGGGCCTAAATAATTACCTATACTATTCTGCAGGTTCCTTTATGATAACTATAGTATAATGGGCCCCAAAAACCTATTAAGGCCCCTATACTAAACCCCCATATACCCCTTATAGTAATCCTTATAGACCCCTTCAAGGAACCCTTGAAGGAACCCGAGTCTAATTATGAAGGCCCCTACATTATAGCACCCTCAACAGGTACGCCAGCATCACCATCCAGGTCCCGGAAGACCACTTCTCCCCGCGGCCTGCGCTGCCCTTCGCGCACTGGCTCGGGCTCTCGGCGAATGCCCAGATGCCAGGCCTGAAATAGACTTTTGGGGGTTTAGGTTGTAGGCGTGTAGGGTTTGCGGTTTATGTCTATTGTTGTTTAAGTTTATTCGCAGGAGGTACTACTAAGAACTGCACGATGTTATTGCAGGCACGTGCTGAACTTTTTTGAGTTGCAAGAGGTATCACGAACTGTTTCCTGTATGTTACTGAAGACGTGTATTCACGTACAGTGAAGACCTCATAACGCGAATAAGAACAGCAGACATAATCATCGCAAGAGACAGTCTGTAAGGTTATCATAGCGATCGTTTTCTCCGCCAAGAAGCTTGCACGGTGATTGGGTCCTTTATGGTTGGGGTTCAGGGTTCCTTCGAACATGTAGTTCTTCAGTGTTACCGAGGCAATGACGGGATGGTGTGTCTAAAGACTACGAAAAAGAGTCAGTCGGTCACCATCTTCTCGTGGGCGAGCATGTTGGGGTTAAAGGGATTTGCCCTTAGCAGCTGAGTGGGTGCACCTTACACTTTTTGGATTAGCCACTATAAATCTGAAAGTGTACACTTTTGGGGGCTTATGAACTCAGCAGCTACGTGCCTGAACTACTACCAACTGTGCCAAAGGCATGTTGCCACATTTCAAAGTATCTTGGCAGCTTTGCAACCTTACTGTAGGAACCTGATTAAGAAACCCTGGGCCTATAACCCTAAAATAGTAGGTCTCATACAAGGAACCTTAACAAAGGCCCAAGGTTTCTTAATCAGGTTCCTACATCAAGCCCTTCGGGTTCCAGTTTCGACTCTCTGGGTGCATCTGAGGAGGCGGACGCAGTTCATCCTCGCCGCGCCAGAGCCAGTGCGGGCAAAGGTGCGCGAGGACCCGGCATGGGAGCATCAATGGTTGGAAACAATATCCGGCACGGTCCTCATGCAGCTACGCCAAAGAGCAGCTGTTTCAAAATCCCGCACCAACCGTTTTTTGGGCCTGTGCGACGACTTTCCAATACTATCTTCATGTTTACGACCATCTCAAAACAACTTAGAATGGTTCTTCAGGACGTTACTTGACCTTCTAATCACGAAGCTCAACTCACCATCCCAAGCTTCCCACGTCACATGGTAATGACAAGGATTATGGCATCGTCGTGATAATGATTATGGTGAAAATCGTGCTCATGAGAATTATGAGAAGAATGACTTTACTAAATTATACGCATTGTTTTGGGGCTTGGAGGGCCGCTGCTACTGTTGATGATATAATTCCTGCATTATCTTAAGGACCCTAAACTATGGGAAGTATAGTATATTCCTTATTATGGGTAGTGCAGGATTTATATCATCAACCGTACTCCCTGAACCTGAGTTTCAATCCCACTCCCATGGGACCGCTCGATGTGGCGGGGATCGGGGTCCCATTCACGAATTCAGCCCGGGTTCAGGGTTTGGAGTTTAGGGTTTGGAGTTTAGGGTTCTGGGTTTAGAGTACAGGGTTTAGGGTCTAGGGTTTTTTTAGTTCAGGGTTTAGGGCGCAGCTTCGACCCCAAAGCACAAAATCCTAAATTTTACGGGCCTCTACTTCGAAGGATCGGGGGCCTCAGCAACTCAAGCTATAAACAATAGGTGACTTTTACATTCTTCGTAGTAACTTGCAACCCAGAATCAGGTACGCATAACCTTACTTACTAATTAGGTCCCATGATCGTCCAAGTACCCTAATCCCTCAGCCCGAAACCTTCAACCAAAGCCAGCAACCGCAAGCTCAGCAACCCGAAGAACCCCAAACCCTAAACATAAATACTTCTTGGCGCCCGAAGCGCCCAGACCTTCCAAAATCCCTTAATTAGGGTTTAGGGTGTAGGGTTTTTAAGGAATATATACCTTAAATGATAATAGGGCCCCTAAGCCCATGCGCAAGGACTTCGTTCTGATGCTGCCTTATGTGGCCGAGGAGCGTCCTTGATCTACCTTTGCGTCTGCAAGGTGCCAGCCTTTTTGTATTACAGTGTGATTGTTTCCAACATTCATGTCATTGTGTTAGTTTTCTTGTGAGCTGAACGAGGTTTGTCATAGGATATCCAGTATTTCGTAGGCAGGGAATATTTGTCAGTTTCTTGACAGAATCCTAACTACTTGAAGTCCAGGGCTTTGTTAAGAGGTATTAGTCTCTCTCTCGAAGGTTTACATCATAAAGAGGGGCCTTAAATCCTAAACCCCGAAACCCTCTAAACCCTAAACCTCCGAAACCCTAAAAACCCTAAACCCTAAGCTCTAAACCCGTAAACCCGTAAAACTAGCTCATCTGCGGCAGGTGCCCTAATGGTCCGAGCTGCTGCGGTCTTGGACCGCTGCAACATCACGGCAGGCTTCGTTGGTTCAGGGCTCATGGTTTTGGGGTTTAGGGTCTCGGGTTTGGGGTTTAGGCTGCGTGACCCAAAACCCTCAGACATGGGCATGTGCGGTCGGAAGCTGGGACAAGAAGAATCTAAATATGGAGATCAGAGGTATGACCCCTGAATTTACTTACTGCTTCCCACTGGTTTGCGCCATGAGCCCTCAAGAGAAAGGAAGTCTAACACAGCAGATAAAACAATACTTAGACTTTCAGGGTGCTTTCCTAAACCCTAAACCCTGCTGTGTATATGCACGTGGCCACAAGTGTTTGTAGATGGCAGATAGGATAGACTGCGTCAGGCTGGGGCTTCGCTTTCCAGAAATTTGTTTATTAGGTTTAGAGTTTAGGTTTTAGGGTTTAGGGTTTCCAGCTCATCAATTGTATAATACCTGTGTGGTTGTCCATGCAGCCCAACACTGAGAAACAAACTTAATGTCGTTGGGTCCCTTGCTCATCAGGTTCAGGGCTGCCGTCGTGGATGCAGAATTGCAGTCCTGTTCTGTGTTCTGGATTTGGTAATGAGGTTTGCGAACGGACTGCGATGCCTTGTCAAGTTCCAAGGTGTCACTATAAGAGCTGTGAGCAAGACCATGTAAAGTGCAAGGGAAGGGGGCACGCTACGCGTCCCTCGTCTCTAGGAGTAGGCTTGTGGTAGTGCTACGCACACCGCAATGCCTATCCATCCTTTCAGTATGACCGCCCATGCAACGTTTGGCTCAAGAATGAGCACAAGCTCTAGAAAGCATTGCCCATAGCTAAAGTGCTATTATCTTTGTGATCCTCAGAGTAGTCAGAGCTATCCCGTGCACAGACGATCCACCGCCGGCCGTGAGTGTGCAAAAGGAGCGAACAGTGGATCTGCCTGCATAGGAGTGCGTGTGTGGAAGTGGAAGTAACGGTGATCCAGCTTGTAGAGGGCAACCACGCCAACAGTCAATACAGCTCTTTGTGGGGTGAGCGATACAGAGAATTACCAGGATCAAATCCCCACGCAGGTTATCAGCCGTACGCGGCTCTGCCTTTCTGCAACAAAGACTACTTGATCTACTACAACCACAATGAACTCGGGATCAAGCCAAGATACGACAATGACTTTCGGTGCCGATGTGGCAGCGCCAGCCGTTGGTGAGTCAACAGCTGATGACACAGTGGTGCAATCCGTTGATAGCTCCACGGAAGATGACAAAGGTCAATCTTCTGCGCTTGCCATTGCAAAGGCAGTTCCCAAAGTGAAAGCAAAGAGTCTACCAAGAGCATCTACGCCTTCGCGTCCGACATCCACAGGTTCGAGGACGGGCAAGGCTCCAGAACGACGATCCGAAGCGTCTGGTTTTCAGGCCCCTCGGACTACGTCCAGGGCAAAGGACAAGGGAGTGAAGACCTTGGAAAAGAAGTCGAGACCATCATCTTCGAGAAGCTCTTCAGCACGATCAAGGACTTCGGCTACTCGTGGGCGTGACAAGTCCATGACATGGAATCGGATGGTGACCAATCAACCACGCGATGCTGACGATCTGGATATGACTCTGGACACTATTCCTGCACGTGGTGATGCTTCATCGGTGACTACACCAGCCATAGCTGATGGTCCGAATGCCTACCAGGAACTGACGATTTCGCAACAACTCGAAGCATCGAACCTTGCACAGCAGATGTACTATCGCAGTCAGATGCAAGAGTACGAAGGAGTGGTCCAGACCCTGATGGATAAGATCAAGGAGATGCAACAAGAAGATGAAGGATCTGGGATTCGCATTGAAGAATTGGAACGACAACGTGACCATGCATGCTTAGCCATGAAGCACTTCAACAATGTCAATCAGGAGATGAAGCGAGACTATGAAACAGCTTTGTTTCGCATGGATGAACAGAACTCTGCTCAACAACGTCAAGCACACGCCGTTGCCGAGGAATTGGCTCAGCAGCTACATGTGTTCCGCACGGAAGCAGCCACTAACTTTGTGCAGTTGGAGGCAAGAGCGCAAGGCGATGGTGAGCTCATGGCACGTGAGTATGAGCATCTGACTCATGAACTTCATGAACAAGCCAGAGAGAACTTGTTCCTCCGGTCGAACACAGCAAGTTCGGAACAAGCCTTACAAGCGATGCAGGAAAGATTCCACTTGGTCAGGAATCAGGAGTTGCGGGCCGTAAACGAGATCCAAGGGCTAGCTGGAAACAGCGCAGCCATCGATCAAGAACGACTTCGGCTCCGCGAACGTCTTGGTGAGGAAGAAGAGTTCCGCAAAATGGCTGTGAGGAGGATGCAAGATGCAGAGGACCGACTTCATCAGAATGAGGATCATGCAAGGCGTGCATTGCCCACCTTGCACGACGAGCTGAGCGAACTCAGGAAAACGCTCAAAGCACAAGAAGATCTTCAAGCGAGGACACGCAGCGAATTGGAGGCAGCACGGAACTCCAACTACCATGGCGGAGTGACACGGCCTTCGAGCATGCCCATGTCTTCGAGGACTACTGAGTCTGGCTGGGAGCACGTAGGAAAGGAAGTAGTGCCTGCATTTTCCGTAGGAGGTGAGGTACGATCCCCTGAAATACGGTCCCCAAGTCAAATTAGTCCAGTCGCCAAAGAGAAGTTCGCATTCTCGGAATCGGACAAGGACAAGAACCTTGCAATGGATGACATCCCATTCACCGGTGGAAACTTCTTCACTGGCCGCATCAAAGGTGAGGTGAATAAATCCTATTCAACGCCAATCGTGGCGGATGCGATGCCCGAGCACTACGTGCCAGGCATTAGCAGTCCAGCACATGCGCGTTCCACGCCTAGTGCAGCCACTTTGTTTGGCATACCAAGCGGATTTCATGGGCAAAATGATGCGGCAGCCGTGCGTGACCGACAGCTACGTGAACTCTTGGAGGATCGCGGGATGTTGGGATCGAAGTCCACAGCATCTGCCAGCTCCTCAAGACCTGTTGGTATCGACGGCATTATCGCATCTACGAGGGGCAACGACCCCATTGGTGCCCCTGTCGCCTACGATGATTCCATCCATGAGGCAAGGAGACGTCAGATCGAGAAAGAGGTCGCGGAACGGTACGAAGAAAAGATTGCTGATCTGCGAAGCGAAGTACTCAAGGCCCAGAAAGCCGAACAACGTCTCAGAGCTGATCGTGATGAGTGGAGATTATTCGCTGAAACGATTCAGGAAGACAACGGAGACGATGACGGTGATGAAGCTGGCGACGATAACGAAGAGGGAGAGCGAGATGAAGGGACCGGCACTGGGTATGACCCTCCAGATCCGCCTGATGATGACGATGATGATAAGAAGAAGAACGGCGGAGGCAAACCTGAACCGGATCCTGACCCTCATGCACGTGATCCTGATGGAGACGCAGATCCTGAAGTCACGGAGGTGAGAATTTCCAGGAGAGAAGCCGACAAAGTAACAGTCCCTCCATGGCCTACTCTCACTCACCTGAACAACTGGCGGTCCGTATGCACGGCGAATGTCCTAGGAGCATCAGCCGACCCAAATCATGAGGACTGGATGTTATGGCTGGCACCAGCGTTCAATCCATTCCCTGATGTCGAAGCACTGAACGATTCAGGACACAAGAAGTTCAAGAGCGTAGACGTCAAATTGGGGATCGCCATGGTCGCAATGCTACGTGCTGGTGGCGACAAATCCGCTGATCTGTACCTGGAAGTGAACCGGAAGGCCAACGATTACATCAGCAGGCCCGAAGGGAAGATCATCAAAGGACGACAAATCATTGCGATGATGTATGAAAGCTTTCGAACGCATGATCGTCTCGACATGATCATCACTCTCGAGTATCTGGTGAAGCTCCAGTACCAAGGCGACAACAAACTTCATACGTTCAAGCAGACGTGGTTGGAAGTTCTTGGACGGATGAGACCAGAAGACATACCATCCAAAACAGCTCTCCGTGATTGCTTGTACAGCAAGATCAAGGACTCGCCCGCAATGAAGATGGAGTTGGGCATGCACTACGAACACTTGCCCTACAATCATGAAGACCGATCGTACGACAATCTGATGAAGATCATCGATCGTACCATCATGCGGAGACGAGAACAATCAAACCTCACTCAGACCCAAATTGGCTTGCGCCAGATGCTTGAGGGCAAGGATTTGCTCGCTGCGCCGGCCAAGGTACCTGAGAAACCGACGCCTAATGCAGCTCCATCCGCAAAGGTCAAAGCTTCGCCTACCAAGCCGGATAAAGCAGCACCTGTATTACCTCAGAGCAAAGCGAAGAGTCATGCGAAGACCAAGCCAAAGCCCAAGAAGAAGACGAGGAGTGAGTCAGCGGACAACAGAGGCGACAAGAGCAAGAAGCAAATCCGCTGCAAGTTCCATTTCTCAGATGCAGGGTGTCGAAATGGTGACAAGTGCCCATTCAGTCACTCGAAGAAGACCCCAGAGCGACCCTTTACGCCGAGGACGAGAACTCCAAGTCCATCTGGAGGAGGAGGAAATAGGATATGCTACTCTTTCAAGAACACAGGCTCGTGCTCAAGAGAGAATTGTCCTTTCAAGCATGAGGCCGCAGCTACCCCAGCTCCGGAACCAAAG